GTTTCTCTGTAGCTTTGGAGCCTGTCCTGGAACTAGCTTTTGTAGACCAGGCTGGCCTCGAACTCACAGAGATTTGCCTGCCTCTGCCTCCCAAGGGCTGGGATTAAAGGTGTGTGCCACCACTGCCCCACTCCCCTTAGCTTCTTTACAGTTTATACAGAGTCAAGACTTCAGTAGGGCTAGAAACCTGGATATTCTAAGATTCTGTCACACCATTCCTAGGACCTGCAGTGAGGATTCAGGCAAACCTCAACCAGGAGCCAGTAAAGTAATGGATGTCAGTTTTCACAACTCAAAGTGGAAGTACGCACAGTGTTTTGACTTATAATGGAACCGTTTTAAAGTTCTAGAATGGTTAAGCCAAATTATTTTTCCAAAAAAAAAAGCTTAATAAAAATTATGTTACTTATACATTTGGGCAGTACTCAGTGTGTCACCAGCAACCATTCAGACATCTTTACTTAGTACGTCCTGTACGGCGAGATTAAAGGAAAACTCACCGAGCCACATGGCAGACTTGTCCTCTATAGTCTGGTCTAGCCCTTAGCCCTGGACACAGCTGGATACCCACTGTGTTTCTAAGGACTGGTGACTACAGACTGGAACAAGTGGGTCTGACCCTTTGTTGCCTTTTATACGCTGTTCTCAGATGCACGTTTTAAATGCCGTTCAATACCGATACCTTTGAGCATTATTTGCCTTCATAAACACAGCTTTGGTTATAAATCAGCACTTGAGGCACTGCAACTCAGTGTGCACTTCAAAACCAGTATTTTCTATCATCAACGAAACCCAGAAAAGGGACGTGTGCAAGCTGTGCTATCGAACACACTAAATACTGACCAGCTGGGAGTTCTGCAAGGCAGCACTAGGCAGCCACGGTAAGCAGCCACAGAACACAAACTCACCTCTGGAAAACAGCATCCTACTAGGACAAAATCTTTGCAGTCATGCCCAGGATTTTAATCCTGGTCCCACAATGCAAGATCTGTGAGAGCCTTCATTTTCTCATCTATAAATAAGGCAAGAACCTTTTTGTCTTCATTTGTGAGGCTAAGTGGGATCCTGCATGTAATCTGCAGAGGCGGTATTTCTCTTCCAACGTGTTAGAGCGACCAGAGGTCTGAGTAGCAGGCAGAGCTACCACTGCTTAGTGCATAGCTGAGTGGTTAACCCAGCAGGCAGGCTGTCTCCCTGACAGGACCGCTGACTCCATGGGGTTTCTCTGTAGCTTTGGTGCCTGTCCTGGAACTGGTTCTTGTAGATCAGATTGGCCTCCAACTCACAGAGATCCGCCTGCTTCTGCCTCCCGAGTGTGAGTGCTGGGATTAAAGGCGTGCGCCACCACTCCCCGGCGTTTACCTCCTCTGTTAAACTTGGTTCTTAGCTCTAAAGTAGCTTCCCCCTTCTTTTAACCACTTATTTATTTTTATGTGTATGGATGTTTTACCAGTATGTTTGTGTCTGGTGCCCACAGAAGTCTCAGATCACTTGAGACTGGAGTTACAGATGGTTCTGAGCTACTACATGGGTGCTGGAAACTGAACCAGGCCCTCTAAATGGGAAATTGGAGCTCTTAACTGTTGAGCCACCTCCAACCCCCCAAAAGCTACCTTTTAAAATTACCTTAAATCATCTTTAAGCAATACTATCCTAAATAACCGCTACATAAAATGAGGCTTTAAAGAATACACTGTAACAAACTTAAATTTCCCAGTGCCGTAAGGTTTACGTGCATGCATTCATGTGTAAATGTATCTGAGTATCATGATGCACATGTAGATACCAGAGGATGAGCCTGGATGTCCACCACCTTCCACCTTGAAAGCCTCTTGGGCCTACCTGCTGCTGTGTGTCCCAGGGACCCTACTGCATCCCAGTAGGTTCCATGAGATTACAGAGCATGCATTACCACACTGCCTTTCTAGGTCCTAGGGATTCCAACCCAGATCCTCTGCATGCTTAGGTGGTGAGAGCTTTACCACCTCCAACCCCCGTTCTCAACCCCTTAGCTTCCCTACAGCTTATACAAAGGCAAGACTTCAGTAGGGCTAGAAAGCTGGATAGTCTAAGATTCTATCACACCGTGACTCCCAGGATCTGCAGTTAGGATTCAGGCAAATCTCACCCAGGAGTCAGGGAAGTAATGTACAACGTTGCTTTCACAACCTAAACATCTTCACTTTGCTCCCATTCTGAAGAACTTATGCGCGAGTAATTCTTCCCACCATGTCTATGGAATGCCAGAGCGCCACAGAGTATCTGGAAAAACAGCTTAATTTACTCAATTAAGAGAACATATGTAAGGGCTGGAGGGACAGCTTGGTTATGAGGAGCACTGGCTGTTCTTCCAGAGAACCGAGTTGGATCCCCAGCACCCACATCAGGTAGCTCCGTTATAACTCTAGTTCAGGGATCGGATGCTCTCTTCTGGCTTGCACAGATAGACATTCACACAGGTACGAGCACACACATACATAAAAGCAAATAAAACATGCAAATACCACAGAAATAAACTTCATGGGATGGCTCACATAGTTCTGGCATTAGATTCTACTGTGTCACATGTGAATAAGTGTGGTCATGCTAGGACCGAGTCTTGCTCTGGACGTCTACTGCAGACAGGTGACCAGTACGGCGGTAAAGGGACCCACCTGGCCAGGAAACTCAGCATGTGCTTGTTAGAGCAATGTCATCTCATGAGAAAGTCAGTCAACCACCTGCACCCACCACAGGACGGTCTTACATTTCAATTTCACTATTTCTTAGCAGATTTCAGGTGGGCACTTTCAGGCATACAGAATATCAGAAATATCCCTAAAAAGGCTCAAGACTGCAATCTTTCCCTAAATTTTCATTCTCAGCTCACTCAACCAGGAGCTGTAAGGCTGGCTAGTCAACCTCATTAACCTTAATGTGACCCTCACGTGACAGAGGAAAAGGAGTTACGGTTTATAAGAGTGGGGGTGGTGGGCCGCAGGGTGGATGGTTCCCTGACTTCAGGTAGAGATAACCTGGTTACAGGGTGGCCAAGCCGTGGGGGCAGTCCTGTTGAATAATGGTAAATTTGGTGTGTTTTACAGCCTTATGCATTTAGCTTCAGCTGCATGTCTTGGGCTTTGAGACATACACATTTGTACTGTGGATAAAAGGTGTTTAGGGAGCAGGGCTCGTTCTAAGCAATCAGGTGGAACTCCTGCAGGTCACACGCAAACTGGTACTGAAGTCCCTTGTTTTCTTTAGGACTACAAACAGGAACCCAACGGGTCTGGACTTTTTGGAGAAGCCTAGAATTGGGCCCCAGGCAAAAAACTTACGGAGAAACCGTGAAATCATGAAAATACGTTTCTGTTTCCTTCCTTCCTTCCTTCCTTCCTTCCTTCCTTCCTTCCTTCCTTC